GCTTTTACTTGTACTTTTTTTCAATCTCTTCATTTTATTTTTTTTATTTTAAATGTGATTTTAAAATATACATATTTTCTGCAAATATTAATTATGAGTTTCCTACACATACTAGCGGACCTAATTTTTTGTTTCAAAAATACGAAAAGTATTAAATCAAATTTTTATCTCAAAATCTACATATACTTTAATGTGTTGTTAATCATCACTTTAAAGTTTACTTCATTAATCATTACCCTCAATTTACTTTTTAACTTTTTCGTTTATTTAAAAACAAATTTTGAATTTGTAACGTTTAGTTTAACTCTAAATTAAAATTACTACGCTGCATGTCTGAAAAACAAAACGTTGAAAGATTGCGAGGAGTGGTTTTCTGGGCTCAAATAAAAAACAAGTTTCTATGAACTTAAGTCCGGAAATGCTTTCCGAAAGAGCTTTCTGAAAAAGGCGAGCAAAAGGTCTTTTTTTCCATTAGGTGGACATAAAGTTACAAAAGTTTGCATCTAGAGTAATTTGTAGTGTTGAATCTATTAGTGATATCAAAAATTGTGTAGGTACCCTAATTAGGGGGAAAATGCAAAATTTTAGGTAATATACGAACGAAATTGATACAATTTTTTCCACATTCTGTTTTTCTTTGTTACAAAAAAATTAAAACAAAAGCAAAAAACTCACTATGCTGCATTAGCACTGTACTGAGTATACTGTAGTATTAACTCCGTAAATAAACGAATAATTTTAATAAGAATCTACTAAATTTTTTCAAGATTTTTCCTTGATAGTTCTTTAGTAGTTTAAAAACTTCACATTTTTGTGATAAATGATGAATTACAGCTTTCATAAATCTTCCTGGTTTGAAGGCTTTCTAATTAAGTAAGTGCTACTGGAACTTAACTTACGAAAATAAGAAACTAACCCAAAAACTAATTAACAACATCCTAATTAAAATTCTGGAAGACAAAATTTTGAAACATATAAGTCTACCTTGTTAGAAAACTAGAACTAATCAGTTTTCGACAAAAATCTATGTCTATTTTTAAAAACCTAAATACCTATACCTAATTGGAATTACTGAAATCTAAACTCTAAAAAATAAGTCATACTTAAATGAAGATCAAGATCAAAAGCGTAGAAATTTTAAAAGAAATTTTGCAATAATATACAGGGTGTTGCACATAATTTTACGAGGCCTACGCCTGCAAGATGCAATCAATAATACATATTCCGATGCGAACTCGATTACAAATTTTGAAAAATTAGATAATCTTCTCTAATTTGTTCACCCTTTCAGAAGTTACAACGTTTTTAGTTAGTTAGTGATTAAGATAGATACACTACAGTCTATCTATTCATGCCATCTCTTGATAAAACAAATGATAATTGTTTCTGAAAAACTGCAGTTTATGACGATTAATAAAACATTGATTAGTTTGACAACTACTGTCGTGGGTCTCCAAAAATGAAATAATTAAATGTGTATTTTTTGTATCCAGTGTTTTGTGACTTTTGTATATTTGGGTGCGTACATTAGGCGCAAGCCTCGTAAAGTTGTGTGGAACACCGTGTATAGTAAAAAGTAGGGCTGAAAAATGCGACTGTTCTTGTCAATTGAGAAGCAGGATATCATTATTACAAAATAACTGAAAAAAGTAGGTACTTAATAGGAACATTTTTAAAACTTAGTCAAAATAGGTTAATCGTGGAGCATTTGTGGTCGATTTTTTGAAAATTTATTATTGAATTTGGCGCGAATTCTGATGAAATGCACCCTTGGGGCACTCGAAAAAAAAATAGTAGCCGTTACAGCGATCAAGATATTCAAATATCCTCGTGGCTGTTGCAGGCGGCCTCCCACGCCTCGCTAATCACCCGCGCAGTCATTAATTGCGCGTGAGACGGACGCACCTGGAACAATCGACGTTTCTGCACCTCCGGGCGTCCATTATCAGTCCATTTGGGCGAAAAGATTCGCACTTATCCTTGTAGATTTACGAACATTGCTGTAATAATGCGGCGAGGGCGTGCGCTCGAAATATAATAAATAGCAGATATTTCAGACGAAAATTAGGTCCTCCATCTTTATTGCCTGCCAACCGAACGGATAAAAAATTGATATAAGTTGAGAGTGTATTGTCCAGACGCGACTCCTGCTGCGCCGAGACGGGTGATTCACTGGTACCAACAAAATAATGGGAAGTTTTCGGGTTAGGCTAGGAAATGTGGTAATACGGGATTGGTGGGCGAGCGCAAAGGGATGGTCACGTGGTGAACTGAATTCTAAACTTATTTAATGTAGTTCTGCGTTTTCTAATTTTCTACACTTTTTTTATCACACATTCCCAGTTTGTCAAGTTCTATTTTTTTGAAAATAAACTTCTTTGAATCTTTAATACTTAAAATTTTTGTTCTGTTTTTTCACATCTTAATTAAAATCTATTTCTTTCAAATTGTTTTTTTTACATTTAAACTTTGAATTTTTTTTTTATACAGAGTGCGCCAGAACTCGCGCCCCAGAGAAAGTTTTCAAGTAAGGTAATGAATATGAAAAAAATGTTTAAAAAATTCTATCTGTCAAAAAATTTTGACATTTATTTTTTGATATTTGACATTTTCTTATGTCTATTTAATGATACTGATGATCTTGTATATGTTTTTTTACAATTATTTAGAAAAGGTACAATAAAAGCCACAAATAACATTGAACACAGTTACAATTTAACATACAGCTTCCTTGTTTCCTCTTTTAATAGCCTATAACAAAAAAACTTGGAAAATTATTTTTCCAACAGAAATAAATAGAGTCAAAGAGCAAACTTTAAATCCTCATAATTTCGAGATTTTTATAGATAAAATTTTTTAACATTTTTTCCATGTTCCGGGTATTTTATCTTATATGGCATTTTTCTCTGGGGCGCGAGTTCAGGCGCACTCTGTATTTGCAAAGAATTCTAACATCGTTTCTTATAAGTGAATTTCTTATTTTACAATAATTCAAAAACTTTTTTTTTTATTTTTGAGTTTTTTTTTTAAGATTTATAAAATAGAATGCTTTAATGCTTATACTGGTATTTCACGACAAATTTTTTTGTAATGGCTTAAACGGCCACGTGATCTGAATTATCACCTGGGGAACAAGCTCGAAACACGTTGAGTATAATTAATATGGTTCTGAGGATGTTCACATTCTTGGCATTCTCCAAACACATGAAAATGTGTCTAGGGAGTGAGACGGAGAGAAACAAGTCCCTTAATAAATATTCAAATTGAACCCACGATAAATTTTGAGGTTAAGTTATGTGCCTATTAAAAAAGACAACATATTAATTCAACAAAATACATTTTTAATAATTTGAGTAAACAAGTCGCGATTTTTTCCCAACTCAAGTCTCAAAAGCTGTTCTCACGTCGTCTTATTAATGAGACCCAAACAAACGACTACTTGCCTCATTTTTAACGACTTTAGCTAATTTATCTTGATAATTCCCCGGCTCCACTCAACAGGAACAATATTTCATCTTTATTAATATTTTCGGTTCGAATACAATTTTTATATTATCGCTTAAACCTGGCTTTTTTCCTTGATATGTTCTTATAATTGGGCATAATTAATTACTTTTTGTGAATTATTAATAAGGGTTAATTAAATGAATGTTTTCTTTATGTAAATCGGCCCCATCTTGGTTTGAGTTTTTTCAAACTTGTCATTTCGACAAGTTTGGCCATTTTTTTATATCAAGCCGTGAAATGTTGCCGGGGAATATTTTAAGTGACCCGTGAAGATCATCCATCATTTGAGTGATTCAAAACTGCTTTCGGTCTGACAGCTGCTTTGAAAACCAATTTTTGACTATTTTTTTTTCACTGGAATAATGGGGCTGACAACGTGGTTGAGAAGCTGCTCTTACATAACTCGAAAAAAGTTGATGGGTTTAGGATTTTTGCCATAACTAGCATTTTTGGCGTCACCAAACGATGGAAAAAATTAATTAGTCTGAATATTAAATTTCACAATATATGAGATCATAAAAATGATAATTAAAATTCAATATCTTTGTCGTAATCGTTAAAATTTTTCAGGTCAACACCTAGTTCAATATTTCTAATAAAACTTAGGTTTTTTATTTTTTTACAAAAATAAGGAACTTTGTTTTAATAACATGAGCTAGTAGTAGGTACCTAGTAAGTAGTAATTAATTATTAATATCAGGTTTTATTATTATTACCTTTTAACTTTAAATTTCATTTCAATATTTATGTTGCTTTCAAAATTTTTCACTTTCTATTTCAAATTTCACGTTTTATCCAGTACCTTTCAGTAACTTTTATCTATCTTTTTTTAAATTTTATTCAATATTTTTACCTTGCTATGTGTGCTATATGAATCTTTTATTTTTTTTTTAAAGTTTTTAGATGTTAATCTATTATTTCACAAGTCGGTTTTCTGATTCTATAATTCTTAGGGTGGGTTTATAAAAGCCGAATTAAATATATGATTTCAATTAAATTTAATTCGTTACGTGATTGGTTGAATTTTGATGAACAATCAGGTTAATTGCGATTAACTTAATTCACTTTCTGTAAACCCATAACGCTTATACTCATAGTCTTCAAATTAAAAGTTTTTAATTCAGATTTTTACATTTTTAAATCAGATGTCCGTTTTTTCTAAAATTTTTTTATCTACATAATTATTATATTTTAATTAACAAAACTATTGTTATCAGATATTGGACTCTTTTGAAAATTATAAAAATCTCTTCTTCAGCTATCAATTTTCCAGTTTATTTTTTTTTTAATTTTCATGTTTTTTTAGTCATAAATCTAATTTTTGTAACTTTCGGTTCCCATAAAGTTTTACTTATTATTAATTTTTCGTTTGAATATTCATGTTAAAATTTCAAGATCGATATAGGATCGGAAGAGTTTAAATTTATGTCTAAATTTTTAGACTTTATGATTAAAATTTCGAGTTTTTGCGGTTTAAAAATTAAAAGCATGAGTACATCATCAGTCAGATTTATTTTCAATAAATTCAAGTTATAATAAACTTTAGATATACAGAGATCCCTGATAAGATATATTTACAATAATTTTTCTTTATACAATTGTGGTCCTACAATTAAATATCAATAATAAAATTTTATACAAATATACAAATACGCATTATCATAAAAACTTATTCATTAAGTTGGAACTTGTGATACAAAGAAAAATTAGCAACTGTATATCAATAATTGCACGGGAACCATTTAAAACATTAAATAATTAAATTAAATATTCACAGTCAAAAATACAAAATATTTATAACCGGGCTTCCTGGCACATAAATGCGCCGAATATCCAAACCACCGGAAATGTTTTTAGTCAATTGCCCTCTTAGAAGCCTCCTATGTACAAAGTCAACAACGATCACTAATAGGCGGTGGCGGCGCCACTGTGGTGCAAATTCCCGAAGTGCCCCAGCCCCCCGAGAGGGTCCGGCGTGACTGGGGGCGGCGGCTGGCACGCCACATACCACTCACTCAGCGTGTTGCCAGGTACTTGAGGGCCGGAGACTTGCGGACTCGCCGCCACCGAGATGCTGCCCGCCGACGACGAGTTGGACTCCTCTCCGTCGCTGTCGTAGTGCGGGGGCGAGCGCCCCGAGCAGCCGTGGACTTTCATGTGCTTGCGGAGCGACGAGGGGTGGGTGTAGGATTTATCGCAGCCGGAGACGCGGCAGTTGTACGGCTTGTCGGAGGTGTGGACATGCGAGTGCTTTTTCCTGTCCGAGGAGTTGGCGAAGCGTCGGTCGCACCCTTCGTACTCGCATTTGAACGGCTTCTCGCCTGAAACAAAAGGGGGCGTCAGCAAACACGGAAAATCACAACGTTATCGAATTGGAAATGGCTTTTGAACCGTATTTCACGATTGTGAGAAATGCGATGAAACGAGTTGGAGGTTTTATATGCACTTATGTAAATATGAATAGTTGTTATGGCGTCGTAAATGACCGGCTTTGTGCATAATCAGGAAACATAAACGTTCTTATGAGAAAAGCGTTCATAAGTTGTACCAATTTCCATATGAGAGAAAGGAGATAACAGTTGGTTTGGATTAGTTGACAGCATTATAACGGTAAACGAAAAAATCCACCCTGTGTAATATTCTTTTGTTACAAATAAATTATTATTAAATAAATAAGAGCTTGAAATTGCAAATAAAAAAAGTGACGCAACTATACAGTATTAATTATACAGAGTGCGCCAGAATTTGAGCCCCAGAGAATAATGCCACGTAAAGTCAGATACAAGAAACATAGAAAAAATGGAAAAAATCTATCTACAAAGATTTCTAAATTATGAGAGCTTAAATCTTGCACTTTGTCTCTATTTGTTTCTGTTGGAAAAATAATTTTTCAAGTTTTTTTTTACTACAGGCTATTTGAAGAGGAAACAAGGAAGCTGAATCCTAAATTGTAACTCTGTTTAATGTTATTTGTGGCTTTTATTGGCAAATTTTTTGTACCTTTACTAAATAATTATAAAAAAACATATACAAGATCATCAATATTATTAAATAGACACAAAAAATGTCAACTGTCAAATTTTTGGACTGATACAATTTTTTAAACATTTTTTTCATGTTCCAGGTATCTTATCTTACTTAAAATTTTTCTCTGGGGCGCGAGTTCTGACACACGTGTCAAATTGCTGTGGACAATCATGACAAGAAGAAGAGAAGAAAAAAACAATATAAGCAATAACTTCGAATTCCCAGTTGCAAAATCACTAACTAACTTCTCGGATATTTTGTAACTGAATTTTGACCGAAAAAAAGGACATATTTCCTGAAAAAAACGTTTTCCGCTTTTAGACATGGCTTTATTTAAATGGCTTTATTTAAATAAAAATATCTTTTAATAATTTTTTTTAGATTAGTTTTAGCATCAGTACCGACAATGAATGCTTTGGATCTTAGTTTTTTTACAATCTCATAAGACAGATTTTAATTTATTTATACTTTTTTTTCTAAGCAAGAAACCAATGGTTATACTCCTAAGACTGACAACAGTCTGTCATTGTCAAAAGTTATAAATCCGGAACTTTCACTCATAAAATTACAAAAATAGCTATTGAAACAATAAGAGTTTTATGGACAGTATACAGGATTATTCATAAATATGAAGCAATATTTGAACCTTAAAAATAACCTATAAAATGATGTTAATTTAAATAATAACTCGTGTCCTATCTCTACTGATAAGAATTTTACAGCCCTCGGAATGTGGGTATGGAAATTTGATTTTTTTGTAATAACTTTGGAACTATTTGACCAAATATTATAAAATTTGAAACATTTCCTTGTGACAACATACCTTTTGAAATGGTAATCACGAAAACCGGATACATCCACTCAATTTCCGGTTCCAGCAGTTGCAGGTCACATTTTTTGTGTTTTTCCATTTTTTTGCTCTCTTCACATCATTTTTTTATTGCCCAAATAGATAGAGTAATCAATTTCATAATCAAAAAACGCATAACCTTTAATACCCCTAAAATGGACCGTTTCAAAGATATTTTAATTTAAACTGAGGACTGCACAACGCTGAAATCAAAAAATAGGGATTTTGAATAAATSATATCYACGGCAACAAATGACCAKGRTCCCACAAATCGCTGTCAGGCATCTGTCAACTTTGACATTGGACGATTCTTGGGCGATTAATTGAAAATATTTAATAAAAGAGTTTACTTCAGACTCCAAATGTAATCTACAATAAATCCAAATCGATCTCGTAGCATTTAATTTATAAAAAAATCACAAAAATTTATCGTCAAAGTTAACAGATGCCTGGTAGGGATTTATGTGACCATGGTCATTGGTTGCTGTGGATACCACTTATTCAAAATCCTTATTTTTTGATTTCAGCGTTGTGCAGTCCTCAGTTTAAATTAAAATATCTTTGAAACGGTCCATTTTAGGGGTATTAAAGGTTATGCGTTTTTTATTCGAAATTGATTACTCTATCTACTTGGACAATAAAAAATTGGTGTTAAGAGAGCAAAAAAATGGAAAAACACAGAAAATGTGACCTGCAACTGCTGGAACCGGAAATTGAGTGTGGTATCGAGATTACCAGTTCAAAAGGTATGTTGTCACAAGGAAATTTTCCAAATTTTATAATATTTGGTCAAATAGTTCCAAAGTTATTACAAAAAAATCAAATTTCCATACCCACATTCTGAGGGCTGTAAAATTCTTATCAGTAGAGATAGGACACGAGTTATTATTTAAATTAACATCATTTTATGGGTCATTTTTGAGGTTCAATAATTGCTTCATATTTATGAATAATCCTGTAGATACCTACTCATATTTCCAAACTATATTAAACTTGTGTTGTCTTTAAAAATTTTTTCATCACTAATATTAATTCAGAAATTTTACTAGGTAAATTCAGGAATTGTTGTAAAAAAAATGACAAAATGCCGAGATAATAGTATTTTTTGCACGACGGGAAGTAGAAATAAACTTTTCTTATGTCAAAACTGTGACAAATTAAAATTTTCTTCTGAAAGAGACAAATAAGCAACGACGAATGCAAATATTTGCTCCTGTCACTAACTCATTCCGATTCATTGACTAGCTCATAGCCAACAAACCTTTTTATTGTTGCCATGGTATAATTTCAAAGAAAGCTAGCTTTATGCTAATTTTTAAATTTTGTTAAAGAATTACAGCCAATTTCTTAGGTTTTTTAACCAAGTCGTGCAAAAAATAGTATATACACCAATGGAGTATTGATACTATTCTTTGGTGATTTATAGCCCTCGGGCTTCTCCCTCTATGTATAATATACTATTATGTACTTATAAAATACAATTATTTCACGTGTTTTATAGAAGAGAAATGCACCATAGAAATAGTATAAGATATATGTTTTGAAAAAATATAATAACTATAAAATAATATAATTCATATTTTTAATTTATATTTATGTAAAAACATAATTTGGGTCAAAATGTATCTTTTATGGCCTCTGGAACATCTGCCTGCGTGATATTTTCCAAAAATTTTTCATTTTACTCTTAAGTTTGAGTCGTGTTAATGTAGCACCTGTCATTTATTATTATTAATGTCTGAAGTATTCGCATTTTTACGATTCAAACACGGAACTAATTTTGGCAGATGTTATAAAAAATGTCTGTTTTCATCATGTAATAAAGTAGATTTATGTTGAAGACGTTCTATTGGAGTAAAATTTATGTATGTTTGAGTTGCGTTCGTATTGTCGACGCAACAATTTCGAAAAATCGCCTTTCAAGGCTATCAACTTTTCTATGGAGTCGTCTGTACATTATTTCACCGAGTGGAGCTTTACGCAGTCCTTTACACCTGTTATTCTCGACAGGAACCGAAGCTCAAGATTTATAATATGCAGCATTTTAAACCCGACTTGTGTTCATTACTCGTAATAAAAACGTTACAATGGCTCGTAGATCCCGGCAATTCGGCATGAAATTCGATTATTTTCGTGATGAGTGAACAATTAAAGAGCCTTCTCAGGCCCGGCCACAAATGAAATATTTCGCTATTCGGCCAGTCATCCCTCCGGTCATTAATCTCGACCTCTCGTTCGTGTTTATTTACTCGATGAAAATTTCATGTGCGATGTGTCTCGAGTAGGTAGAAAGGGACGTCTCGTTTATCACATTTTGTCCGCATCAGCGACTCTCTTCGAAAAATGCACGAATAATGGAGTTCGGCGGTTGCGGTTCCAGGGGAAAAAAGACCGAATTTACTGCCGGTGGATGCGTGTGATGTGGGCAACGGCTTGACATGTGAAGAACTTGTCGACCGACTGTTTTACGACGGTTTACCTGAAGAGAAGCTTGTAAATCGACCATTTTACATGATTCCCAGACAAAGACCCAACATAAATTACACTAAAATGTCAATTATTTAATTTATCAAACCTGGGAATCCCATTACCACACCTTAATTAACAAATTATTAAATTTTTGCCAGATTTGGAGGAACCCCAACTGTGATCTGTCATCAGTATCAATATCGTTAGAACGGGTCAAGTGCTAATGAGACAATTTTTATTATTTTATTTCATTTAAATAAAGTAAGTATCCTATTGTGTATAATAAGACACCATTCATTCAATTAAATTTCTCATTAAAGTTACTTTGAAATAAAGTTTTGGCAACTGTGAGTCCCTTGAATGTAGAAAGTTACCACGTGACTATATTATGATTGTCGTTCTTGTCAAGTAGACCACGAAATTCTAATTTGGAAACATTGGCTATAAAATTTAAACGTTACAGTTTTATGGTCAATCATTTGTCATTCATTTCCGAGGGGCGGCCGATGCATAGCCGTCACCTGAACATCCTAATATCACCAATAATTCAATGTTGATGGCAGTAGATTTTTGGTTACAATCAATTAGTTACGTGGTAAAAAAATTGACAAGTGTCGTATTTATCCTGTCTTTGTCTTTTAGTTAATGTTGTCAACTTTATTTCAAAGTTACAGGCCATAGCCTGCTGCTTTTATGCTTTTATATCTTTTTACATTTTTTTAAACAATAGAATTTGAAATGTTTCTTAATAAATAATTATAGGCTTACTTTATTTTTTAAATTAGTTGGTGGGTATCCAGAACAAAACATTTTCAAAAACCCGGCGAGTCAAGTAAAAAAATTATATACAGGGTGCTCCAGAACTCCCGACCTTACATGGAGTAAGGTACGATACCAGGAACATGAAAAAAATGTTTCAAAAATTCTATCTATAAAAATTTTGAAGTTATGAGAGTTTAAATTTTACACTTTGAC